TCCAACCCAAACCATTCTGTGATTCCATGAATTTCAGGAGCCCATGAAACCAGGGTAAAAGACGCCACTGGTGCTAGGGAGGAGCAGATATTCAAGAGCTAGTTAATAAAGTTTATCTGACTGGGAGAGCATTGAAAACCACGATGATGCAGACTGACGGCAGTGGCAGAAGTGGGGTGCACTCTGGTAGGTGCAGCGTGCAGGGTCGTGGGCAAAAGCATGGCTGTAATTTGGAAGCTGATAAATTGAGAATAAGAGGAGCAGCAGGACCTGAGAGAGTTAGCTGGGAACAGCTCCTCAGTATGATGTAGCTTTGTAAATGTCAAGGAACATTTAACGGCATCGCACAAGCTTCCATTGTGTGACTTCCATCCATGTAAAAGAGGATGCCAAGTGAGAACGGACTCAGGGAGGCACTCATATATTGGGGACTGAAGAGCTTGTTTAACAAGAAGAGACTAAATAAACTTTGCTTGTCCACTTAGTGAAGAGCACAAGGGAATCAGGTTGATTGGAACTAAAGAGCAGTGTTAGCATGAGAACAGATGTGATATGAGCTGGCCATGAATCAGCTTGGTCTGGAAATTGAAGTGGTCAAAAATGAGACCACCAGATCAGAGAGAAACACTGAGGGTTTTTAAAGGTGATAGTAGCTTAGGGTACTGTGATGTTGCACCACCAGCCTGGACACTGTACATCAGCAATGGAGTAGTCTCACTCTCCTCACTGAAAGGAAAGCTGTCCTCTGCCTTGCCCGTCCTCAGGAGCTCAGGACTGGAAAACTGCACTGCCCCAATACATAACAGGAGTGGATGCAAAAATCTGCTACTTCTCTCCCGAGAGCAGCTGAGATGAATAATAATTGTTAATCAGTTATGCTGCCGTCTGTTCCTATCTTCAAGGAATGCCAAGCAATTAGCCACCCATCTGATGTTATAAATGCACATGGCCATCTTTGTTTACAGAAGGCAATGAAGCCCTGCCAATTTACACTGGTAAAAAAATTTAGCCCAAATAGCCTAATTTTGATCTCACTGAGTGAGATTTATACCATGGGCATTAACACCAAATAAGCTATTCCTCTTTGCAGCCCCCCCAAGGCTGTGGAATGCCAAGAGAAAGGGATGGAAGGAAATTCAAAGAGGTAATCTGTGACAGCACGGGTGTTGGGGGACAGCAGCTGACACAAGGAAGGATCTTTGCTACTTCAGCTATCGCCATCCAGGCAAAAGCATCAGGAGAGTTGGTGGGAAAGGGCAGCATGAATGCAGTTCTCTCAGAGAATTGCCTAGATTGGAAAAGACCTTTAAGATCATGGAGTCCAATCATTAACCCAACACTGACAAGTCCCCAACTAAACCATGTCCCTCAGCACTGTGTCTACATGACTCAAATACCTCCATTTCCTGGAGGAATTGAAATTGCCTCTCCTGCTGCCAAGGCAAATCGGTGAGGATGTAACAGGGGCAGTACTGCAGAGACAGGCAGAACAGCCAAGTTAAGACCTTGAGTGAAAACCTTTTTCTGCCTGTGAAGCTCTGTAATGGATTTACTTTGGTTTTGCTGGCAGAAGCCCAAGGTCAGCATTAGACATGAATGCTGGAGATAGTGTCTGTTACTCACTGCAGCGTTCCTAGCCTGTGCAATGTTTACATCAGATTTGTTTTCGGATAGGGCAGTTCCCCAACATACAGATCAGGAATGTGGGTTTGCTGTTTAGTAACTGTTTTCTCTGCCCAGAAGGGAGCATATGCTAGACTAACTGGGCTACTGAGAAGGTAGGGGGGGCGGTCTTGCTGCCAGAGCTGTTTCCCTCCACAACTATGGAGGGGAGGTGGCATATTTTGGGAAGTGTGTCAGAGACAGTATGCAAAGCAGTGGCATCACTCCCCATAGTCAACATAAAATCATGGCATGGTTTGGGTTGGAAGGGACCTCAAAGATCACCTATTTCTAGTCCCCCTGCCATGAGCAAAACAGATTCAACACCACTGCCCTGGGCAACCCCTTCCAATGTCTGATAACCTGTTCAGTAAAGAAATTGTCCTGTGTTACTAAGCTGTCCCAATTCTGCTTTTGCTGCAGATGGCAACGTTTCTGCTTCTGTGCAGCCCCTTTCCTCCTGCTTTCCCTGTTACCAGGGCCACAGCATTGCATTCCAAGCTTGCTGAAAGTAGTCCTGGGGGAAGAAAGGTGGAGCACAACAAGGTGTTATGGCTCTCGCCTACATCAGGAGGTGCTGCAAAATATTTACTAGGTGAAGTAGTCCATACAATCAGGAGGGCTGGTGACCTGAATGTTTTTCCCACCGAGGTAGACTGCGATTTCCTTAGCACCAGTTTGTGGCAGTATTAACATACTTTGTGTTTCTGATGTAATTCAGCCCATACTAGAGCCTGCTGGGAGAGGAGTTTTTATTAAGGGCATGGATGAATAAAGAAGGAAACCTGCAAACCTTCCCAATGCCAGGAACAGAATACAATCTACTTATAACACTGCTTCGAAACCTATAACCTAGGTCAAGGGGAAGAAAATTACTCCAATTGTTTCTTGAGCCCTGAAACAAAGCAACTCCAAACTGATGCTTTTTGTTCACCAATTATAAGAGCTTATGAGTTCAGAAAATGCTGTAAAGGAAATAAAACTAAGCTCAGTTTTGTCAGAGGAATAGAACTGTTTTGCCTGACACATCTGTAACTCAATCAGTTTAAGTCACAGCAATCAGCAATGATTTGCATTGTTACTTATAATATTTCTGACAGTATGCAATACCCAATCTACATTCCACAGGCACTGATACTTGTGGTAGTTTTCAGGCAAAATTGTGGTTTTTTTTTTTAAACATGGACATTTTTTCCAGCTGCTGTTCTTCCTAGACATACTTGCTATTCATGGCACACTATTTCAAATTTTTAAATTTTAAAGCCAACTCCAACTGTGCCACAGGAGAGGACAGCACCCTGTGACACTCACCTGACCCAGCTTGCTACTGGCCAGCAGAAGCAGCAATCTCCAAGTTCAGGGTACTGCAAGAAACAATTTGCACTTCACTTACACACTAAGTATCAGTGTTTCTGTACAGCTGAAACCACTCTGAATTATTTCTGCTCTTAGCTTTTAAAAATACAGAGGTGTTCAGAATCCTTGCTGAAAAAACCTTTCCCTGAAATGCAGATCTCTCAGTATAAATGTTAAACAGAGCTTCTAGTGATGAACGTGGAGAAAAAAAAACCCTCATGCCTAGGACGCAACAGGAAGCTGTCCACTGTACTCTGGGTTCAAAATCTAAGTTGCACTTCATAAAGACATGTTTTAATAAATTAACATTTATTGAAAATATCACATTAGCCTTTATTTTGCTCATTTGCCCCAGTGCAAAATTAAGCTATTGAACATGTAATTTGTAATAACAAGCAGCTTCATAAAAATGAAAGACCAAGTACACTTATAATACGATCAGACTCTTTAATCTGGTGGATAAGGAACAGTGGGGTGGAAGGAAATAATCTGTTTTAGGGTCTGATACACAACCTATCTTGTTGTTTTAACACATATATCTTATTAAAAGCCACTGTTTAGCAGTTTAACATGCATCTAAAAATTGACAATATGGGGCTTCATCCATTAAATATACTATTTGTAGACAAGAATCATTAGGGATGGGAAAAGGATTAAAATAAAAAGAAAAGCACCAGGGCTCCATGGCCCTCCTAGAACAAAGTATTTTGCAGGGAGAGCATAATGCCATTTGTCAGCACTCTACCGTGACATGCCGTAAGGACCAGCAGTTGGTCCATTTCCTGCATGTTTGCTGTAGAAATGCACTTCTTTGGAAAAGCAACCATCCAGGCTTTGCAAACGCAGGGTTAACTTCAGACACCCAGCTTATTGGCCTGGGTGAGGACAACTTTCAGAACAGGCATGAAAGCAGAGGTCTCGCTGAAGTTGCTGGTGCTGACTATGTGTGTGTGAATGTTCAGTCCTTCCTGGTAGTTGCGGGTTTCGATGCTCTTCACAATGTTGTGCAAACCGCTAATGATGGTTGGAGAGAGCTGCAAGGAAGGCAGGCAAAGAAGGTCAGCAGAAAGAAAAATGAGCACCTACACAAGTACTAGAAAACCAGAAATCCCAAGTGTGACATTTGGCCTTCAGGAAGATGCAGCAATTAGTTCCTTTCTTTACGGATAACCCTTTTCAGAGCTGTACCTCACTGGGAACAGTCACTGGGAAATCTAACAACAGATTTCAACCCAAATGTACCTTCTCTGCAGTACCAAAAAGCCCTGCCAGCCTTCACTGCCAGCCCCTGGATGCAATCCCCCGAGGTGGAGACCTGCTGTGACAGACTGTGGCACATAAAAAATCCCTACTGAGCTTTAATGTGCTTGGGGTAAAGTTAATTGCCCAGCAAAGATGGCCTGACAACAACAGGGTTAGACCAATCTAATCCAAAAGTATTAAGAGATCTAAGCCCAGTCCTTTATATCTGCCACAGACCTCCTGGAAGGCTTTGGAAAAGTCACCAGATCTTCAAAAGTACTTGCACATCTGCCTTCCAGTGAAGCCAGTGAACCTCCAACATCTAAGTCTGCTGGTTTTTGGGTGGGTTTTTTTTTTTACCTCAGGCTGCTATCACAGAATGGTTGGAAACGACCTTAACTATCACCTAGTCCTAATCCCCCTGCGATCAGCAGCAACACCTTCCACTAGAGCAGGTTGCTCAAAGCCTCATCCAACCTGGCCTTGAACACTTCCAGGGAGGAGCAGCCACAACTTCTCTGGGCAACCTGGGCCAGTGCCTGACCACCCTCACAGGAAAGAATTTCTTCCTCATATCTCATCTCCATCTCCCTTCTTCCAGTTTGAAGCCATTACCCTTCATCCTATTGCTCCCTGCCCTGGTCAAAAGTCCCTCCCCAGCCTTCCTATAGGAAGGCTTCCTGTTCTTCCCTTCTCTCACTTCCTGCTGGGAGTAGGGGAACTCACTGTGCTGGCTCATTCTGCCAGCAGCTGGGGACAGGGACCCTCTCCTAATACATTCACCCAGTGCCTACTGCCTCAGCACAGTCCCTGCACAGCACCACGAAACTCATGACATGACCTCAAAACAATGTAAAGTCTGCACAGGCAGTTGGGCCCAAGCACTCTACCTGGTCATTTCTGGCAAATGCATGGAAACATACAATAAATGGATTTGAAGCTTGCTTCCAGAGAAAGAACAAGCACCTGCTACAAATTGCTGAGGTGTCCATGGCACCAATGAAGTTCTTGGCCATACCTGCAATATTTGATGTGGGGAGAGGGGCAGGGGAAAAAAGTAAACCAGAACTTACTGTCTGTTCCCTAAGTTTGTCATATAGAAACTCCAGGCGTTTATTTGCATCATCTAGTTTCCTCTTGGTTTGCTGCAAGGGAAATAAATACATTAAAACACAGGGATTTTAAGAACATCACATAGATCAGTGGGAAGAGGTCCAAGCAGCACACAAAATTATTTTCTCAACATTTTCTTAACACATCATTTGATTTCTTTGTACATTTCTCCCCTAATTTTGCTAGGAAAGACCACATGGTGTGACTGTAGTTGTCCACATGGAACTGTTCTAGTTAGCTACAGAGAACACTAAACTGAGGAGGTGCATCCCAAAAGCCACTGGTCATTTGCAAAACCTACTGTTATAGCTGATATGGGAAGTAACAGAATTCTGAGTTGCAGCGTAGATTTTTCTCCTGTGGTTCACTGGCAAAGCATAATGATAGCTGGATAAAGTTATTACTGGAATCAAGTATCCAGCAAGGCCAACGAGAGCTTAAGGGCACATGCAGTCACTGAAGTCTAAGTTCGTATAACTCAAGTCATAATCTATAGCAAATCCTAATTATATTTGCCATTATATGATTAGTAAAACCAAGAGTCTAAGTTTTTACTATCAACAGAAAAACTAATAGCCTAACCCAAACTGTCCTTACAGATCCTTTGTGCTTCCATGATTTTATATAAACTACCTACTGATGTGTCTGGAACTGTTTTGCCACCAAAGGCTATTAAAATATAACCCCAGTATTTTCCACCTGGAGTGCCACAGCAGCTGCTAGAGAAATGCATTTTTATCCCCCCACCTCCCCCTTTTATTTTTTAAACAAACAGCTACAGAAATTGAAGATTTTAATTCAGAATAATGAAACAATACTAAAGCATCAAGGTTTCAACAGAAGCACAAAAAAAGAAGGTGATCAACAGCAACAGAAACAGCACCAGTGCACTTGAGTAATGGAACTGCCTCCTAAATCATTATGCACATCAATCCATCTTCACTTAAGATAGTGCCATTTCCCCTGGCAACTGGAAAAGTTTCCCTGGATTAAATAATTGCCTTGAGAGAAAATAACAAAGCCTACAGGAATGCTCTAGCTCAGGGGTAAAGACAGACTGGAGGCTGCCTGCTGTGCTAGAAATTAGGGAAAGCTGTTTGGATGGCAAAGGGCATAAAGGAGAAGACAGCACATGGATCTCAGGGCAGATGTGGAAAACCCCTCAGCAGTAGTTCTGTTGTCAAGGAACAGACAGGTAAGGAAAAAGTACCCCAGGAGGAGCAGATAAGAAACAGGCTAATTCTTTTGGACTGGCTAAATCTTTCAGATCCATGACTTCAGAACATTTGTTTCACTGGTGTACATGCTATTTTCACTTCACAGATGGCCAACTAGGGCAAAGAAGAATAAATTGTCTTTAGTAAATAGCAAGACATCTCTCCAAAGGAAATTAAGTGGAAGTAGTACAAACTGGTTGTTCTCCTCACTCTGCTTCCTGTTCCCATTTTCCCCTGTGAAATGTAATCACTGAGTAGCACCCGTGTTTGTTCTGACAATAACTGATGTATACAGTCAAGGCGGTGTCTCGCAGTGCTGTGTGCCAGAAACGTTTGCTCTGCCTAAGAAAATCAGAGACTGAACAAGAAGCAAGCAAAATGTGTTAGCAGAGCAGAAAAGCAATCCCTGGGCGCAGATGTGAACTCAATGCTTTCACCTTCTTTGTGTGTCTGGGAGAAGGAAGACTTAGAGGAAGAAAAGGTCAAAGGGTCCGTGCAGTATACGACTTCTATCCCTGCACTCTACAGCCTAACCTTTAAAGAAAGGATTTTGAGCGGCTGAATGCTACTGAACCTCATGAGGTCTATCCAAAGAAAGGTCTACGGCCTTGAAAAGCTTCTGTAAAGGAGCACGTGGGCGAGTCCACCCTGAAACTGCTAGGCTGAGACCCCAAGGCCAAAGGAGTAGCTACATGCAAATGTCAAGTCTAACCTACAGAACCATCTGAAATCGTACAGCGGACGTACGACAGCAGTGACACCCAACACCCAGTATCCGTCCAATGCCACTGCCACAGAGCCCTCAGGCAGCTCAGCTCCCAGTTACCATAACCAGGAGCGTGAGTCCGTGCTGCTGACCAAGCACATTCAGTGCACAAAGCCTCTGCACACCACCAGCCTGTTTTTCATCATCCACCTTTCAGCGTGCGGCAGGCACGAGCTGAACAGTCAGCATCTGGGCTTTGGGGTAGTGTGTAATTTATTGACTGCTGGAAATAAATGGGAGGCTTTGGGACACACGGCTCGTTCACAAAGTACTGACTGCCACAGGAAATATTCTTCCTCTCCAGCTCCAGTGGTCACGTGAAAGCTCCTAACCTCCCACTTCTCTGCTAGCCGTTGCTTCCTTTTGAAATGAGGTTGTTATCAGAAATCACAAACCACAGATCAAAATCTGAGGTGTGTACTCACATATGTGAGCCTCAGCTCGGCCCTGGCATAATACCAGCTGCTTCCTGCCCTGAATTATAAGAAGGAGTTCAGCAAATGTACAGGGCTTGCCTCCACAGTGATCATATGACAGAAGGAAGGACAGCCCTTTCTGAAGGTTTCAGAATTTTTAATTAATCTATTTTTCAAACACAAACCTCAACTGCAACCAATTCCAACCTTCCTCCTTAGAACAGAGCAGCAGAGGGGATTGTAATGGCTTCATTCCCTGCCCATAAACAGCACCATTGTGCTCTCTATGCCAAAGGCTGTAAAGATCACAGTTACTGGGACAGCTGGGCTGTGTTCCGGCGCCAGACTGCAACGTCCTATGTGCATATGGATTTTCCACACATTGCTTGTGGCTGCTTGAAGCAGCCTTCAGAAGGAAAAAGCTATCTCAGGAGAGGCTGTGATGGCTAATTGTGCTGCAAATATCAACCAGAGCATTCACCCAAACCCAGGAGTACTCTGGGAACACTGCAGAGACCTACCGGATCGGAGGCAGACAGCAGGCACCTCTGGATAAGAGCTTCAAATGTTGTCTTCAGGATAAGGTGCTCCTCAGGGATGGGCTTCTTGGTAATCTTCTCTGTTGGCAGTGCCTGAACATGCTGAGAAACAGAGACCAGATGAGGCTTTTCCAGGTCACTGTGACCACTTGTTGTTTTCAGCTAAACAAAGTGGCATTATTAGCCAGCTTGGCACAACTCCTGTTTCTTTCCTGTGGGTGTGTGGAGGTGACATTATCAGCATTTGTTGTCACTCCCTCTGGAGAGCTGTGAAGCTACAGAACAAAGTAGCTTGTTGGTCCATAGTGACTAGAGTATTAACTGCAAAGAGGTAAGTGAGACTACTAACTATTGTAGACTCTCTCTAGGTGAAGACTAGAGGTGTGTACTGGGGACACATAACTGCCCTTATGAAAAGTCTTGGGGAAGGACTTTTCATAAGGGCAGTTAATGACAGAACAAGGGGAAATGGCTTTAAGCTGAAAGAGGGGAGGTTTAGATTAGATATTAGGAAGAAGTTCTTCACTGTGAGGGTGGTGAGACACTGGAACAGGTTGCCCAAGGAAGCTGTGGATGCTCCTCCCTGGAAGTGTTGAAGGCCAGGTTGGATGAGGCTTTGAGCAACCTGGTCTAGTGGAAGGTGTCCCTGCTGATGGCAGGGGGGTTGGAACTAGATGATCTTTAAGGTCTCTTCCAACCCAAACCATTCTATGATTCTATGAAGACTACAGTAGCAAAATGCCAGTATGGTGCAAAGCCAGCGACTAAAACCTCTGAGAGGTACAAGAAACACCCAACAGAATCCCAGCCTGCAGGGCTCTGCTGATGCACAAACCAAAACCGTGTGACGCTGTGGCTATGTTACCTGGATGGCATTGCCGATTGGGGCTCCAGGGGCTCCCTCCATGCTGGGTTTGGAAACAGTGGGTGGCATGATGCACGGCCCCAGGGGCTGGGGAGCAGAGGGGTAGCCACCCTGCAGCACCGGCTGCCCGGCAGGGAGGTGCGGAGGCTGGAAGCTGGGTGCACCCGTGGGTGGTGCTGGAGCTGGAGGCTGCTGCATTTGAGACTGTGGATCCGCCAGCGGGTTCATGATGGGCGAGGTGATGGGAACTGGAGGCAGGAAGTTATCAGGGACCTGGGGAAAAAAAAACAAACAAGCAGTGTCTTTACGCTGCCACACCCAGCTCTTACAGACTTCCCAACCCACAGCGATTGAGAGCTGTGCCAAAGAGTGCTCAGCCCCCAGGATACAGAAATAAGAGGGGTAGGTAACAGAGGATTTCACTCTGGCTACACAAACCCATTCCTCCAACTACAGCTGGACAGTAAGAAGTGCCCTGGGGCAGTAATAGCCTCCAGTGTTTCCAGTTCTGTGTGCTCTGCCTGTCCTCCTGCCCAGCCTGCCCCTGGCCACTAGACCTGCGTAGAGCCATGTTAAACCAGAGCCACTCTCCCTCTGCAAAGGGCACAAAACAGGTTTGTCAGATCAGCACTAACAGAAGAGCTGTGCTAATGAAGACTAACCCACACTTACATCTATTCTTACTAATGACTCATTATATTTACATTTTTGTGTCTCACTTTCAAGAGTACATTTTTGTCCATGCGGTACATAGGTCACGGCTATTTGCACTAAAGAGATTGTGAGTGCATTTCAGATTCATCCCTAAACATCTGGCAGCCTTTACACAGGGGCATTTTGGAAACATTTCATAGAGAGAAGAAAAAACAACAGAAGCTACCAGCCTCTGCTACGCATCATATAGGCATCTAAAAAAAAAAGAGCTCCCACAGGAATGTGCACATTTCTTTGGGTGTGCATGGAAAAAAGGGAAGATTACAGAACCCTGAATGCTACCCTAAATGAATGATGCCAGAATTAGACAGTGGTTTGGGACAGCAAGAAAAATATTCCCAATCCAGCACCAAAGTCAGTTATAAAAGCAATGAATTACAGCAATACACTTTTGAGTGGTGGGTAAGGTCTTACGTGGAAAGCCGTTGCAAATTATGCTGCAGCTTGAAATGCCAGACAGTTCTTCTATTTGACAATAGCTCATGTGACAAGTCATTTTACAATATCCTAAACCACCCCCTCATACAGTGGACATAAGGGAAACAAACACAGAAACATTTCTGGCAGAGGTTTGTGATACCCAACATGGAATGCAACAAATACAGCTCCTCACTTAGAAAGGATCCCAGACTCAAGCCCTGGCCATGGCAGAACTTCTGGCTGTGACACACACACACAGCAGCAGCAAAACCTGTTTTACAGAAGGGCTTGAGCTCTCAGGTCCAGCAGTTATTCTCACTGACAACTTTCCTCCTTATACTTAAGAGCTTGAAGCTCCCCTGAAAAAAAACGTGCCGGCTGCTGTGTGACAGACGTCCCAGCAGTGGGGCAGTCAGGAGCGCACAACACATCCCTTATCCACCTCCAAAAGCTTCATCTTGAACTGCAGAGACCAAAACCCAAAGGCTAAGGGAGACTTCTGCCTTCACCATCACCCAGACCTTATCTTGCCTGCTCCACCCTTTTTTTCTTTTCCTTTTTCTCCCCACACTTTACACACTCCAAACTGACTCTTGCTTCCCAAATGTACCAGGCTCAGCGAGCAGCAGATGACACTGACTGCTGTGGAGATACAGAAGACTACAGCAACACCAGAGGATGGAAAGGCTCATGCTGCTCTGAGCCAAGTGTCCCCAGTTACTCTGTCCTGCTGCAGTCTAAATCCGTTTTACAAAACATTGTCTCCATTACAAAAATTGTCTTACTCTCGGCAGATCTCTCAGGGTCAGACCCTTAATCAGGATAAATTGCTTTCAGCTCCAGCAAAATAAGTAATCTGTAACAATTTGCACTGCTTCATCATTTTGCTTAAGTATTGTCTCCTGCAAAACTCATCTGCTTTCCTGCAGATGAAAACAGTCTGAGGGATTTTCTTCAAACCAGAATCAATAGTATTATTAACAACCACAACTTTAGCAAAAAGCAAACGACTGCTTTAGAGGCTTAAATATTTTGAGAGAGAGAATGCATATTGGAGAGACATAAATCCCATTTCTGCTCACGAGGTGCAGCTTTTGTTTGCTGCTAACCCTTCTTTTTCCTTTGTCTGCCAACAAGTTTCCCAGGAGCAGCTTAAGTTACTGCTTTTCAAGTGGTCAGCACTCAATTGATTTCCTAGAGTACCTTCTTCTTCTTGGCAGCTCTGTTCAGGGCAGGAGGATCGTTCCAGCCGTTCTGAGGCCCTGGGACAGAAAGAAAACAGACTGTAAGTACCTCAGAGGAGGGCAATGATGCCTTCCTGAGCTCAGCTGAACCAGCTCCCCTCCACAGCTCTATGGCAGGGGCTTGGCAGGGGCTGCCCTCACCTGCCTCCTCCTCTGCCCGGCACTGGGGGCCAGAACATCTCCTGCGCTAGTCAGAGCCTCCCAGCACCCCACAGCCATCAGACCCTTTGGGTTCTGCACCCATTGTGCAGGTCTGGGATCCTGAAAAACTGTTCTCAAGTTTGATAGAAGTTGCTTTATTTTTTTTAATAATTAACTTTTTATTCTCTTGCAGAAAAAAACCCACTTTCACTAGACATGCCCTTTGAAAAGGCAGACAGTTGCCTACTATGCCCAAAACACAGCTCTGCTACACAGACTGTACATGTGAAGACAGCTTCAGTTATCAGTGAAAGTTTTTCCCATCTGTATCATATGAGAAGAAATGAGAATGGTTTTTAAACCTTTTTTTTCCTCCCCATGATCACTGTAACATTATTATAAACATCAATCAGCAGCAGAGATGTCAGAAACCACGGGTGAATGAGAATGCTTTCAAGCTGCATCCATCTCCCAAAAGCTGCTGCTGCTGCTGCAATTGCATACTGTGATGGATTTATACATGACAGTTAAAACACGTTTCCCAGCAACACAACACAGAAAGAAGAGGCATAAGAGGCAACAGGAGCCTTAAACATTTCAGGACAGATTCACCCAGCCACCCTGAAGACACAAAAAAGCCATAAAACCACATTTCCCCTGCCAGCTAAAGCGTGTTTCCGAGTGCTTTGTGTCCCCAAATCAGAGCAGAGCTGCTGGAGCAAGGTGGCAAAATCTAGGTTTTTGTACCGAGGGCAATTTGTTTGAAACTGGAGGAAGCACAGAGGATGTTGGAGCAGATTCACTCCGAGTTCAGAGTGTTGCTCTGTACCAAACCTTCTGCTCTTCCCAAGAAAGCACACACCGTGCAGCTGCGAGATTTGTACAGCAAAGCTCACATCAGTGCATTAGAAATAGTTCCCCATCTATCTCACCATGAAGCACATGGAATCAGGACCACAGCGTCATATCTCAGCATTACCATGGCCTTGCCGAGTAATCAGGATTGATTGCACAAAGCCACAAAAAGCCAACAAAACCAAATCCCCGCTCAATGGACTTTTTCACCACAGTGTTTTTCGCTTAGCAGATGATAAATTCATCTTAGACAGCAGAGCTTAACATCACTGCAGAATTTGCTCAATTTATCTTAAATTTCATTTGCTCCTAAGCTTTTGTTAAACAAGTTTCACATCCAGAGCACGTTAAAGGGGTAAATGAAAAACAATTTAAAGCCTCTTTCACATCTGCTTTCTCTTTACACCAAGGGCAGTGCCATCTCCTGACAGCCATATGCCCCAGCGGCTCCTCTGTTCCTCCCTATCTCAGGGTATTTCTGATATAGGAAGTCATAACTTCTGCAGTGCTGGTAGTGGTAACACATTAAGAAAATTTCCCAGACTGTTATTGCTGTTAATTTCCTGGAATAATTTGCTTTAAAAAAAGAAAACCTGAGTATTTGTTTCTGTGGTTAAAAACTCCAGATAGGTCGTTATTGATTTTAATTAAGGAATTAAAAATTGATTTGATTAAAGTCTAATTGGCAAACAGCATCACATTTAATGTTCTCTGAAGAACACACAAATTACTGATGTCTGTTCAATTAATTTCATGTAGTGGCTGTAATTATTTTCAGGTTAGGTGGTACCTAGTTCACCTGCGAAGGGAGAGGCCTGGTCTTGAGTTGGTAGGCTTTCTGCAGATAAGATGCAAAGAGAACTAAAAAAAAAAGATTTTCTCCAAAAATAAAACAATTGGTCTGTAATTTTTAATTAGCAATTTAGTTTCAATAAGCACGAGAAGACAGGAGAAAAAAAATGTCTAACCTAATTACAATGCTAGTTTACAGAGAAGTCATCTGACCAAACCGCCCTGTGGAACTGCTTTTGTCTGCCTTCCCTGAAACCAAGCCTGTTGCTCTGTCCATGCAGAAAATCAGTGTTTCTAGTTGTTTCTAACAAATGTGGCAGAATCCTGGCCTGCTTTCTTATCTCTTCTGTTGTTCTCATTTTCTATTCCTGCCAGCTAGTGCAGCTGACAGACCATTACTCTTAGCAACAATCTTCTCACCATCTTTTTACCATTCCAGAAAGCTTTTCAGGAGATGCTTAAAGTATTTACTTCAAGGTGGACATCAAGTATTTTCCCAAATCAAGGCAGGCAAGCAAAAAAACCCAAAAAAACCCACACCACAAACCAAAAAAGTCTGTTCATGCAGCAGCTTGACACTCACGTGAAAAGACATGCTGCCTGCTCAGATTTAGCAACAAATCCAAATGGCAAAACACAGCCAATAAAACCTTTGCCATTTCAAAGAGAAGAGGAACATTGGGGATAAGACAACCCCTGTCCCTGGGGTTGGTCTGATGCACTTACAGCTCTGGTGCAAACCCTTCCTTTAGTTCAGAATTCTCTATCACAATTTGAAACGAGATCCAAGACTCTGAATTAAAACTCCCTTGGAAGCAGGTTCCAAGATCTATCATAAAACAAAGTGAGATAGGTTGAAAATGAAATGTCATGTGGGCTTTGCTTGCTTACTGGAGCTCCAAGCACAGCTTAACATATAACAATACTGATGTTATATGCATTTGCAAAAAACCAAAACCAAACCCAGAAGATATTTATAGAACTGTTTCTTTAAGTGCATCTTTAAACCCAAGCCAGTTCAAAGGTTAGGTGCTTTTCAAGACGTCAAATTTGACATCTTTTTATCTTCCTTCCTGTAAATGAATCACATTTGCCAAGTGAAACATGATGTTCCTAGATTAGATCACCACCACACACAAAAGCACACCGCTCCAAAGCCAAGATCAGCATCACTATATACTCTGCACTGGAACATTCCAAGTTACAAGTGAGATCTACTTCTGCCTGTAGATTTCTGTGGTTCTCTGGGATCTCATGCCCTCACTAAGCAATGCAGCTACTCTGGAAAATCTGTTGATGGTTAAGCAAATTAAGCATGTACACTGTCATTTCTGCGTTTACAAAGCAAGCTTTTCTTCCTGCTTGTTTATATGGTTTATGAAAGGCATAATCTAAAAATTGGAAGAGGACAGAGTGTGGTCTTCAGATACCTCTTATCTTCTTTTCCACAGCTCTCCAGCAACCCACACTTATGAGCCACCTGGCCTTGGCACCTCAGAGTCCACACGTGGCATTTCAGCCCAAGGCTGGTGTTTGCCAGGAATCAGAGATGATTCCTAAGTTTGGGTTCCTGAAGGCTTGACACCTTGTACTGGCTGCCTTCTCACCACAGCCACTGGGAAAAACACAAGCAGCACTGAGAGCTCTCAAAGTTTTATAAATGCGTAGTATGGACAACTTTTCATTTTCAAAGGAAATCTGGCAAGGCCACGCGGGTAACAACTGCTTCAGTTCCCTGTATGTTAAAGTGACATAGGCAAGATGTGTTAGACTACTGTCTTATGTGGATTACACACTTTTACTAATTACCTAGTATCGTCATTAACATCCCTAATTTCTATTGTCCAGAGTACAGAGCTTCACCTGCTCTGAGTGCACCACATGGACTAGGTCACTTCACTGTTAATGCAAGAAATGTAGCAAGTGACAGATCTGAAGTGACTGCCAGTGACGCAAATCGAGTAACAAAATGGATAAGAAAGAACAATTTTCTTGTTCCTTGCATTTATTTGGAGGCACAGAAGCTATATGCTGTCTGCATTATAATGTGCTACTTCACATCCCAGGCCTAGAACTGTATCCAACGCCTCCTCCTCTGTCCAAATTAATAATTCCTCTGGCTTAGAGATCCAAGTTTGACATGGGGTCAGGAAAAGTCATGGTACAGCATGTGCAAGAACAGGTAGGACACCCAACCTGGTTGCAGGATGGAGAGAAAAGGCCTCTTCTCCCCTTGCAGCCCTGGCAGCTGCCCTACATCAGTACTTCTCATTTTTTGACAGAGCAAAAGAACAGTTCTCCCCAAAACACATGTGTGCATGAAGGCAATGCCATGAGAGGTGTGGGCTCCTAGCCTCACAGACATCAGGAGCACCTACTCACAGGACTGCTGCTGCCAAGACAAAGGCAATATGCCTTTTCTGCACAGCATCACACCTAACAGGCTTCTTTTAAAAGAAGAGAGGGAGTCACACTGGTGTCCTTAGGGCCTGTCAGAGTCAGCATCCCTGGAACATCCCTCAAATCCTGCCTGATAATCCCTCCGCTCCCTACTTCCTTGACACTCCAGCTGGACCACCTGTACGTGAAGTACGTTCATGGCCAAGTTTAGAAAAGGCCTGCTCATACTTCCTGCACAGTCTGATGTATGCAAAGCTGTCGTTTCACAGGCTGCTAAGTGAAGAGACAGGTTTGTTATCACAAGCGAGGTCACCGTCCCACAGCAAACAGTTACGTCCAGGCAGTCCCAAGGAAATGCTGAGCCCCACCTCAGTGCGTGCTCAAACATGCTCTTATGGGTCAGCCACACACACATGCTTTTGCTTAACACTCAGGAAAGAGACACGTAAAAGCATTTCTAAATCACTTCTTATTATCTTTTAAGGCAGTCACGGCTACTGTAAATCCCATTGCACTAAGTGCTCAGGAAAAAAATAACAGAAGTGAACTGATGCCACAGGAAATGCTGTTTGAATTAAATACACTGTCGATCCTGGGTTTGAAATGCTGTTCACAAACCAGGGACACAGGGACAAATAAAATTTGCAAAATTGTTCTGCAAGAAGAATCAGAATCATCTTCTCTGCAGCGATTAGGAAAACTTGCTCATCGTTTTTGTATTTTGCCCTCCAGCCACATAGCAGGTTTGGACGCCAGCCTCACAAAGTTAAAGCTGGGCTGCCATCCATCTGCAGAATACAACAGCCTCGTAACGAGACAACACTGGAGCACCCTGTCTTGGGCAAGACAAAAGCTCTGTGTTTGAGGCAAGGTCTGACTCGTGAGAGAGACAACTGCTCACGCTGCCCAGCAAGTGCTCACTGCACCAACACAGCCATATCACTGCCAGGTGTGCAGGGAAGACAATGTGGTTTAGAAATGCTTTGAACTGGTCTCTAAGCACAAGCAAACTTTGTATGAAGCATTCACAAGGAAAAGGTGCACGTTTAACTGAGTGAGTAATAAAGCAAATCCCTCCCCCTCCCTGCCTGCTCCCCTGTCCAAGCGCAGACCTGTTCTCTGGGATGCAGGAAGGTCACTGGTTGCAGGCAGAGTACCTGTTGGTCCCGTAGGTAATGCATAAGCCACAGAAGTTGTTGGAGGTCCTGGCCTGCCATGCTGAAAGGACGTGCCAGAAGCAGGAAGAGGGAAGGAAGAGACGGGATTCAGGCTCGTTGGGGAGGGTTGAGGCTGCCCAGGGTAGAGCGGGGTGGGTAGGGAGTGGGCTGGGGCAGAGGGCAGGTAGGGAGGGGTGGTGTTAGGGGCAGGGTTCAGGTAAGAGGCCGAAGCAGAGACAGCGAGAGGCTGCTGAGGCTGATAGAGAGCTGGTCCCCCTGTTCCACAAGAGTACTGCTGTGTGGCCTGATACGCTACAAACAGGGAAAAAAAGACATTTAGTCAGTGAGTTCACAACAGAGGAGCACATTTCATCTGCCTCTGCTTCCTTCTCCACCTGACCTCCCTTCTCTTCCTGCCCCTTCTCCCTCAAACCACATAACTGCCCAGCCAAATCCTGGATCCCACAACTCTGCCTGTACTTGCAGGACTCAAAACCTCAGCCTGCCACAGGGAGCCAGAGAAAGGACTGCCTTGGCTGTGAGGACTCCCATTCTCCTCCCCAGAACCACCATGTCACCTGGGGTACGGCTGAGGCACATGGACACTGCTGCTCTGGTTGTTTTCTGAACCACTGCAATCCTCGCAGTGCCTCTTAGGGAAGGGAAACCCCTGCCCCAGGTTTGCACAAAGGGAAGGCTGAGGCCAAGGAGGTGAACAGCAATCTCTGAAAGTGAATGGAAGCTCACAGCCTTTCACTGTGGGCCCTGCAGCTTAACTGCCTCTTCTCTGCCCATCTATGCCCATTATTTTCCTCCCTAGTGCCTGTACTTTCAGTCCCCTGCTTCAAGTGTGTCAGTGCTCTGCCCACTCCCTCACCCACTTCTACTACTGCTCTTGTCTCCTCATCACCCCCTTTCTCATCTTCATGGAGTTCCAATGAGAACTGGATGGCCCAGCTACACACAGATGAGTTGGGTCCCTCTTTGCTCGGCTTGTGCTGCTCCTCCAGGACTCACACTGGGGGGTTTCTGACTCCAGCACACCCTTGGGAAGGGCCAGCTGAGGAGTAAATCTAAGAGCTGTGGGCAGACAGCTTCTCAGCAGAGGAGACAGTGTCTGACAGAGGGCCTGATGTCTGGACCCCACCAAGAAATCACAATCCTCAGATGTCATCTCAGGAGCTTTTTCCTCCCCCAAGAAATGTGGGACTGGCTTGGTCTGAACCCTTCCACCCCCAAGGAAGGGACTGGCTATCCCCAAGTAAACCTGGCTGGCTCATCACCAGGCTGGCCCACCTGGGCAGGAGAGAGACAGGAGCTGCTGCTACTCACTTTGCGGGTACGTTGGCCGGGTCCCTGCTTGTGAGTACATGCTGTAATTAGAGGATGTGGCTTGCTGTGGTGGCATGTTGGGGTTAACAGCACCTGGCATAATAAACCCTGGAGGAGGTGGGTTGTCTCCCTGTAAGAGATTGCAGGAAAAAAGGGTAGGGGGAGATAAGATTCAGTCAGCATGGTAATGCAGTGCTGAAGCAGGATTGTTATAAAATGATCAATTCACATTTTAAGGCCCAAAACCACGTTCCCTGGAAGAACCACCAGCACAGGGGCAAATGTTTCCAACCACCCTGGTGCCTTAAGGTGCCCAGTGTGACATGGAAAGCACAGCCTGTATGTGCAGTGACTTCAGCAGCAGCAGAGCAGCACACACCTTCCCGCACAAGGAAGAGGTCCTTGCCAACACTGCCTGTTATTCAGGCAGTCTGAGAGCACCCTGCCATCCACAGCTTCCAACTAAACAACTCAAACACTGACTCTGAAGCTTCTAATTTCCATGGGAAAGAGAGAAAGGAAAAATATCATCACACTTCAGATATGTCAGTGTGGGACAAGGGCTGAGGGAGGTGCTCAGGGCACACTGAGTTCCCACTCAAGGCTTTCCAGAGCCACTCATCTGGGTGTTGGTAAACAAAAATAACTATAGTAACGTGAGACAGAGGAGCACAACCAGAGCACACCTGGAAGCTGCTCCTTCCACCTATCCATACCAGACTGTGTCAAGCACACAGACTACACCAGGGGACATATCAGGGTGGAGCAGGGGCTCAGAGAGGAATAATGAAGGTTATACCTGTGTGTCAGAGGGACAGCCTGCAGGAGGATGGCTGGGAAGGGCAGTAGGAGTTTTGTTACTCCAGGTAGTGACAGTAGGGGCAATTCTAACCTGAATTGAACAAAGAAATACCAATCATGGAAAACAAAACAATAAAAAAAAAGTCTAAAGGGTTTCATAAAATGAGATGCAAAGAAGTGAACACAAAAAGATTTGCATGCTGGTGCTTGTTACACAGCCATAAAATCTCAGAGGAAGAAGGAAAAGACAGACAAAAATCACTGTGCACTGCAGCCAGAGGGAATTGCAGAGTGAGGACGAAGCACAGCAGAGACACAGCTACAACAGGCTGTGGAGCGAGTGCAGCGTTACACGTACCAGTGAGCCAGGCCTGCCTCTTTCATCACATGTTCCTATTGCAGAAGCTCCCCCCGGGCTACTGCGTGACACTGAACATCACTAATCCCAGCTGGAAGTCCCAAGCTCCATGTTAAATTCAAACATATCACCTCACACCAAAGCAGATTGGTTAAATTGAGCTTAAGGTGAATCAAAAAAAGGTTACAACTTCATATTGAGCTCTTACACATGCACAACCATACATCTTAATGCTAATTGCTACCCAGCCAGTCTCCCACAGCTTCCTCTCCTCTGTCTTCCTTCTCTGCCACTCCAAAGCCCTTCTGTATGACCCTTCTGACAGGACAGAAACCAAGCACATCCTCTGCCTGTGACATCCTTGAGCAAGGAGAGGGCAGTGGGATGCACAGCCAGGGTCAGAGCACAGGCAGAGGGAAAGCTGTGGCCCTGAACTCCTGGCTGGCTCAGCTGGTTCCAGTCTGTTGGTCTCTAACCCTCTGCAGTGCTGGGCTAATGGTGCAGTCAGCTGTACAACAACCACTGTTAATGTCTCCATAATTCATCATTGGAGTAATCTTAGACTTTTCCATTCCCTTTCACATCTGGGTTTGTTTTAGTTTTCTTTTTTTTTTTTTTCCAGATGAAAATAAATGTTCAGAAACCTATGCTGAAAGGAAACCAAGTTTTAAGTACATGTTCCTATTTGGGACAGTAATTAAAGGCTACCTCAAGCTTAAACAAGCCCTCTCTAAACACTTTCTTAAAAGACTGTGCCGTGAATGTGGATTTTAATGATAATTCTTAAATATGTGATTCATAGAGGCAAGGGGTGGAATGTATTGGGTTTGTGTGGCCAGGTTTTGGCAGTGGGGAGGGCATAGGGGTGGCTTCTGTGAGAAGCTGCCAGAAGCTTCCCCCATGGCTGACCTGACACAGCCAATGCCACCGGCTCCAAGACAGTGACAGTGGTAGCACCTCTGGGATAACATAAGAAGGGGAAGAGAAAAAAGCTGCACGTTTTGCAGCCCGAGAGAGAAATGAGAATACGTGAGAGAAACAACTCTGCAGACACCAAGGTCAGTGAAGGAGGGGCAGGAGGTGCTCCAGACACCAGAGCAGAGATTTCCCCTCAACCCGTGGTAAAGACCATGATGAGGCAGGCTGTCCCCCTGCAGCCCATGGAGCTCCATGGTGGAGCAGATGACCACCTGTAGCTCATGGAAGACACCACACCAAAGCAAGTGGATGTCCAAAGGAGGTTGTGACCCCATAGGAAACCCACGATGGAGAAGGCTCCTGGCAGGACCTGTGGATCCATGGAGATTGGAGTACACGCTGGAGCCGGTTTGCTGACAGGACTTGTGACCCCATGGGGGACCCATGCTGGAGCAGTCTGTTCCTGGAGGACTGCAAATCACAGAAAAGACCCACACTAAGCAGTTCATGAGGAACTGTCGTTCGTGGGAAGGACTCATGCTGGAGAAGTTCATGGAGCACTATCTCCCATGGGAGGGACCTCACTCTGGTGTGGGGGACGAGCATGAGTCTTCCCGCTGAAGAGGAAGGAGCAGCAGAAACAATGTGTGATGAACTGACTGCAACCCCCATTCCCCCACCCCCCTGCACTGCTGGAGGGGAGGAGACAGAAAATCTGGAAAACAGTGAAGCCTGGGAAGAAGGGAGGAGTTGGGGGGAAGATGTTTTAAGTTTTGATTTAATTTCTCATTATCCTACTCTTATTTGATTGGCAATAAATTAAATTAATTTTTCCTCAAGTCAAGTCTGCTTGTAATTGGTGAATGATCCCTCTCAGTCCTTATCTCAACCCACAAGCCTTTCATTTATATTTTCTCTCCCCTGCCCAGCTGAGGAGTGGGGGAGTGATACAGAGGCTTTGATGGACACCTGGCATTCAGCCAGAGCAACCCACCACAAAATTCAACAAAACAAGTATCCCAAGACTCAACCATGTCATTTCTATCCGTTCTGGTTCGTCAGCATATCGCTGGGCACCTTCCTGACATAGCACCTGTCCCCTTCAAGCCTTTCCTGTTGAGCACGAGTTCCCTGGAAAGCCAAGAACACAGTTGGTAGCTCACAGTGTGCTTGTGGGGTTGTGATACACCCAGCCTTTCATTAATGAGTAGGGCTTGCTTAAATAATAGTTTGAGGCATTCCTGAAACAGTTGGAGAAAGAGGGAACTCTGGTTTAAAAAGCATTGCTAAGATCATGCCATCTAGAGGACAGCTCCTATTTTCCACAGCCAAACAGGAAAAATGCAGCATTGGTTCTCAAGGCAACTCACTGGTTACAAGGAGGAAGGTCAAAGACACAGGAAAGAAGAGTAGAGTTAATTATTGGCAATGATGCATTTCAAATCATATGCAATAGCATTAGCAAGGTAATCCTGTAGGAAGGCTTTGTCCCTTCTGAAATCTACCTTGTTAACACCTTGGAGAGAAGGTGAAGGCATGCACAATATATCAAGAGGGAGAGAACAAAACCCAGCTCCCCCCCATTATTCAGCCCTTCTTCCTTCCTGCTCCCATTTTTCTGGCAAGCAGTGCTTGAAGAGCACCACTGACAGAGAGACACCTCTGCTTGTGCCCATCTCCTCCGTGAAAGGAGAACACCAGCAGCACTATCACAGCTCTGCTCTCAGCAAATCCCAGCCCAGAGTCCTGGCGTAGAGCAGGGCCACATGATCTCCAGTGCTGCGCTGAGGGATTAGGGACTTGGGGAAGCTCTTTAATGCACAGCCAGGGCTGCCTCCCACACCACACTCTGGGGATGGCCAGCATGGTGTGATGCAGCATCGTCCTCAGGCTAAAGATAAAACCAGGACATCTGCCTCCTCCGTTTCTCCTCTTCCTCCCTGCACCCAGCTCCCTTATTAATCCCATACTCACCAGGTCTCTCTTCTGGGACAGTGGACTCTCAGCCCAGGCCTGCCCCATCCCCTGCCCGTGCTGCCTATACCCCCTTACACCCAGCTACGAAGGTGTTTTCAGAGCAGGTTGTACCCACAACTGCTGAAACATGTCCTCAGTTTGCTACTGTCACTGCTCAGCAACTTCTGCAGCCACCAGCAGAGCTGGGCGGGAAATAACCAGCCCCAGAGGAAGCTGGTGAGCAGCGTGAGCAAGTCCCAAGTCCTGCAGAGATGGGACTAGGAGAGCAAGCACAGAAAAATCCTGCAGTGCTCTGCCACACAGTCATTCTTGGCACTGAAGCACATTTTCAAACAGAGGGGGAAAACACCTAATCTTCAGAAGCAGGCAACTTGACAAGGTGTTTATGTTCCCAGGTGAGGAATAAAAGAAGCATCCATACTGATTGAAAAGCAGCACCAACGACTTTCACCACAAGGCTCTCGGTTGAGGTGCATGATCAAGAGAAAGGAAAAAAAATTCCTCTCTCCATCACTCTCCAGAACTCAGGCACCATACACCTCCGTGACTGCCAAAACCCCAGTTACCTGTTGGTAATACTGCTGGGTTGGAGCCTGGGGCCCTTGCATCTGTCCAGCCACAGGGCCAGCTCGTCCTTTGGGCATGGGCTGTCTCTCATACGGTGCCTTGAGGGTCTCCTGTCCCACTGGGAGCTCCCCTTGAGCTCTGCAAAGCCTGTCCCGTAACAGCATGATGTTTGGCTGCAATCAGAAAAGGAGAGTGAAGGAAGGTTTACTGCACTGCCTGTTACCCAGTGCATCACACCAAGAGGCTGACTGGCCACATGCTGATAAGCTCTCTCTCAGAAGCCTGCTCTGCTTTATTTGATGACAATAAGTCTCTTCTGCCTTATGTGTGCCTGCCTCCCATCTTGGGCTGCATCATTCCCAAGCCAGCCTGACTCTGGATACCAGCTGAAGATGAGAAATCAAAAGAAAACAAGTGTCAAGGTGTATGTTTCACTGTGTCTGACTTGCATGGTGGACAGTTGGCAGCCACTGACTGCAAGCACAGGCATGTGAAACGAAGGAGAAAGAGGCTGTGTACTTCTGCTGGCTCAATGAGGCCAATGCAGGGAGAGGAGAAACAATCTGTCACATCCCAAGGTGCATTTCAAATGGCAGTCCTGCTGGCTAACTGCACCATGCAGAGACCTTGGCTCGAAGTACATCTGTTCACATAGAGAGAGGGAGTAAAAAAACTTGAAGGCCCCGTACCTGGTTGGTGTTTGCAGGAAGGAAGGTCAAAGCTGCAGCAATGCTGCCTTGGGCAGCCAGGAGGTTGGCGTACTGGCTCATCTTCTCAGCCAAAAGGGCCCCCACAGCATTAGAGTCCACAGCCTGGGTGAGCTGTACAGCTTTGCGCAGGATGACAACTTTCTCTATTAAATCCTGGAAGATCAGGGAAAAAAACCCCACCACACAAATGAGAACAACAGGGTGAAGTAGGCTCTGGCTAATGACTGTCCCAGAGGGTTGTTCCTCAGGGCAGCCCTGCAGAACACCTCTCACCTCTTGGAAAGCTCAAGTGCAAGTTTCCCAGACAGTTATAGCTGCATTGAAGCATCAGGTAGAGTTCAAAGCCAAAAGAACTCCTTTTATTGAACAGGATTTCAGGGCCCTATCAGCACTGAGCATGTCCACCAAAAGAATATTTCATTTCATAAAACATCTGGTGAGAACCATGAGAGCAAATGGAAAACACGTCCATCACCACCACTAGTGCTGGGGTGCTGCACATGAGTTTGCAGCACTTTAGTAAGTCAGTTCTTAACAGTCTTAATCAAACGGATCTAACAGCTCCCTTGGGAGAGTTGTCCATGGTTTTCTGGTTGTTACTGCAAGGATGGTTTTCCTGATATTCACCAGGAATATTCCACACCTTGCCCTTCTTGGACATCCCCGTCTTCATTGGGTTTCCTCCTAGTGCTAAGTTACAGGAACATTTTTTCAGTTTTTCCTCACTTTTTTTTCTTCAGTTTTTTCTGTTTTTTTT